AGTATACTGGGCCGCAAACCCTATTCTAATTACAAGGCCCCAACATTAACAGTACACGGGACTCCTTGACGATGGGGCTAGACCCAAAGCCCTAAACCCTAAAACCCTGAACCCTAAAACCCCAAACCCTGAACCCTGAACCCTAAACCCTGAACCCTAAAACCCTTAACCCCCAACCCTAAACCCTAAACCCTAAACCCTGAACCCTAAACCCTAAACCCTGAACCCCAAAAGGGACCCAGGCACCGCTGACTTCGACCCTCTGCTCCGGGCTGGGCGCGGACCCGGACTGCACGGCCCAGGCCAGAGGTCGCCCCGTGTGCAGGGAGGAGCCCTTCCCGTAAGCCTAGGGTTTAGAGTTTAGGGTTTTAGGGTTTAGGGTTTAGGGTTTAGGATTTAGGGTTTATGGTTTAGAGTTTAGGGTTTAGGGTTTTAGGTTTTGAGGGTTTAGGGTTTAGAAGGTCTCGGAGAGTCCAGGGCTTTTAGGGTTGAAGGCTTGGTTGTTGAGGTGTAGGCTTAGGTAGATAGGGTCAGGGTTTGAGCTTTTTTGCGGGGTTTTAGGCTTAGGGTTGGGGCTTAGGGTTTTCTAGGTTTCGGTGGTATAGGGTTTAGGGTTTAGAGGTTTAGGGTTTTGTTTTGGTCTAGGCTTAGGAAATTAGGGTTTAGTCCTTCAGCTTTGTTTCGGTTCAGGTTTAGGGGGGTTTGAGGTTTCAGCACTCACAACCGGGACAAGCCTGGCGAGGCTTCTTGGCCTAGGGTTAAGGATGGTCTGGGACCCATTTCTGCGGTCTTTCTGTGGCTTTTGGCTTTGGGGGTTTAGGCGGGTCACATACCAGAGGTCTAGACAGGTTGCATTTTGGGTCTTACACGGCTTTTAACTAAGGGTTGCATATGACGAAAACTCATAAGGTTCCCGTAAGGGTCCCATAAAGGAACCACAGGGGTCATACATGCCTTCTATAAGTGATCTATAAGTCATTGACAGGGGTCCCATACACACCCAAATTCTCCTATTGGTTACTTAAGCTTGAGACGGACATCCTACTACTTGCCACCCAAAGAACATGAAAGGGTGCTACTGGGGAGACCAAGCAGCGGCTGGCAACAAAGGTGCAACGTAGAGGCACGTGATCGAGCAAGTGTTGCCTTTTCCGCCGTGACCGCCACCACCACCACCGCCCCCACCACCACCCGCGCCGCTGAGACGACGGGAGAGGATCGGGTTCTCAAGGAAGCTTAGTTTGTGGAGGCCCTCCATTTGAGGAAGGTCCGAGATGTTGTTGAGAGCAGCTTCCCTTCTGCAGTCCTTCCTGGCACATTCGCTGGCTGTACAGGAGCTGCATGAGGCTACGGCTCCAATTCGACTGCTATCCATGAGGCCATTGATCTGCACGAGCCCTGCATCGGCCACGCCAGCTTCGGAGTAGTCCTGCACGCTCAGAACTGCTTGCGAGCGGAGGCTCACGTAGGAGAAGACGCACCCGTTACTGCACCGGGACGCCACCAAGAGGATCAGAAGGGCGAAGCAGCCGCAGCCCCATCGTAGCCGGTCGAGCACGTGCAGGGGATGGTCCACATGAGGAAAATAAGCAGGCGCAATGCCGGTGTGTAGAGCTAGGGCTACAAAAGCCACCGACACGAGCAGACAAACGACTGAACCGAGATACTCCTCCGTGGAGTACATGCACAGCAACAGCAGCAGTGCCGGAAGCGTTGCGGCCGTCATCCGCCACGGGGAGCCATGAAACTTCAGCTGCGGCGCAGCCATGGCTCCACAAACAGCTCCTTGTTATGTTTGCAGTTGGATCCCCTCACTCGTGTTCTTGCCTGCACCATGCTTACAATCCTAGATTTGCGCACTGCAGATCATGCAACGTGTAAGCATGCATGCATCTCAGTACACATGCATCTCTCTATCGCCTGCTTAGGCTTCGCTCCTCGTGCGTATCGACTTGCAATGGCTTTGCATCCTTCCAAAAAGAGAGGCAACACGCGTTTCTTGCAAACTGCTCTATCCCCTCTGTGAGCTCCTTCGAACCGCGAGAGATTCGAGACGGGCAGAAAGCATTTCAAAGTGGGTTTTGGGTACCGAGGATTTACACCTGGCAGCAGATACAGAGGCTAGAAAAGCGCAGAAGGAGGCCACGAGCTTGGCCTGAACAAGTTGCCCATGTCATGCTTGATGTGATGTAGACCCGAATTTTAGAACAGCTTACAAATCACAGGGATCCCAAGCTCAAGGCCCGTGAAGAGAGGGGTTTAGCGCCCTGCACTCAGGCTCCAATATAGGGGCCTTAAGAGCTAGAATGGGGTTTNNAACTATACTAAGGAACCCCCAAAACCCTCACTTTGTAGCACTATAGCAACAAGCTTCCTGCACAAGTCACTGTGAAAATCGAGGGCTCGGTGTGGCGCAAGGACCCCATACCAAATATGTCCGCTGTTTCTCTTTGGACTCACCAAGCTTGTAGTCAGGATCCTCTGGAAACTGACAAAGTGCCCGGAAGAACACGAACGAACTCATTGCAATGGAGACTCTAAGCGCCGAACATGCAGAAACCCTCTTCTAAGCCCTTGTAGAACCTTTCAAGGAACCCGCAGACAATTAAAACCCTACAAGATCCCCCATATGACCTTGTAGACGAACTCTTAAAAAGGAATCCTAACCTTGGTGTCCCTGTAAAGAACACCACATCCGAACGGAATCCTAGACCGACTATAACCCGAACAAGGCACCTCTTCGGTCATCTTCGAGACAATGCTTGCCGCCCAGTCTTTGTGATTGATGCTCATGTCCTCAGACTTGTTTGGGTTTCGGCTCTATCTCTCCCTCTCTCTCTCTCTCTCTCTCTCTCTCTCTTGCTGTATGTGTATACATACATATATCTATATACTTTTTTTTGCAGGGCTCTTCAGAAGGTTTGGGTTTCGGGGTTTTCGGGTGAGGATGTAGGGCTTCACTCGCCTCAAAGGGGTGTGCAAGGCAGGACAGGGCTTGGGTTTCGGTGGTTGGAGCTCCCCTTGTTCATGTAGGTAGGAGCCTGATTGCGAAACCTCTCGTCTTGATGTTGTAAAGGTTCTTTAACAGTTCCTTATATGAATCCTGTTTTGGGGGGATTATAGGAGGGTTCCTGCATTACTTTGATTTCTGAAGCAAACTAACCTGCAACACGAATTGCCTAGGGAAGATCCCAGGGTCCCATCTTACCGGAGTCTCCTAAAGGCCCGATGATAACCCCCCCAATACAACCCTGATGCAACCCCGAAAGAAAGCTCTTCTAACGCCCATGGACTTGCATTGTCGGGGCCTTCAGAAGAATGGCTCCTTTAACCGGGGGTCCCTCACAACAACCTGCGATTTAGTCAAGGCAACAAAGCAACCACCCCATCCGTCCTAGGCTCCATCGCAAGTTCAGATGGCATAACCCTCAACTTCTAAACTTGCTAAACTCCAAACCTGAAAACCTTTAAACCGGATAGCCATAAACCCGACACCCCGAAGCTTTGAGCATCTCAGGCATCCGCAGGAGGAAGTGTCATGGCATGCTCTTCACAGAATCCTGGAGGTAAGCCATGTGCACCTGCAAAATGCTCTCTCAGGGTTTATTATGTATATATATATATACATATATATATATATATATATATACCCTGCTTTACCGGATTCAGCTTCTGGCTCGGATCGTGGGCTGAGGACTTATAGTGTTCTAAGCTACTGCTTGGATTCCATGAGTGGTTGCCCGGTTCTTGATGGGTTTCTGGAAGGTCGAGGGGTGTCAGTCAAGGGGCCGCGCTTCGGTTCGGAGAACTGTGGACTTGGTTCGTTGTGTCTGGGGGCATAAGGCTTTAAGCCTTTCGGGTTCGAGGTGTTTGAGGAAAGGCACGTTTTTTGAGTTTTGCGGCTGAAGGCTACATGGGGCTATGGGTGAACTATTCACAAAATTCCTCATTGAAAACATAGCTAGGCCAACTATATAAGCCCAACAAGTATTAAGGTCTAGATAAGTTTCGGGGAGGCATGGCCAGCCGCCTAGAACCTCTGGCAGAAGTTGCTCTCTAGAAGGGCTACTAGGTACGGGAAGGGTTGCTCGTGAATCAGCCCTGATTGACAAGCCCTGCCACCAAAACAGAATAACACTCTAATTTTGGTGGGTTAATCCCGAAATAGGACTAAGATGAAGAGGCTTTTTGGTCAGCCGAGATGCAGATTCCATCCTACACCTGAAGGCTCACCTCCAGGAGCTTGCTTTGCTGAAGCTTCTTGCTTAAGACTGATCCGGGGTTCAGGATTGAGGGCTTGGCGGGCAGGGTCTAGGGTTTGGAGGTCAGATTCACTTTCTAGAGTTTAGAGGCTTGGCTTTAAGCTTCAATTCGATCCCAGCGTTGGGGAGTTTCTTACAGTTCACATGCCAAGAGCTTAGCTCCCTCGCAACCCTAAACCCTGAACACCTGAACGTTGTTGGAACCCTTAAGGGACCCTTTGCTAGAAACCATTTAATGGATCCTAGACCCTGACCGGGATGTGCAAGGCCTGCTTGTGTCTCTCTTCTTGCTGATGGCCGAAGCTGCTGGTCATTGACTATGCATTCTTGTCGTGCTGGTCACTGCCCGGACCGAGACTGCGCGCAAGCTCAAGCACAATATAGTCAATATAGCAGTGGTGGCAAGTGCAGTAGTCGTCGTTGAGAGGAGGAGAAGCAGCAGCAGCCGCAGCAGCTGCAAGCAATAATGCTGTCATGTTGGTAGTCCAGGTGCACTGTGTGGTGGTATTGACGGCAGCGCAGGAATCATGACAAGTCCAGCAATAAGAATTATCCCTGCTAGAACTGCCACGGACAACAATTATCATAGTCGCTGATTACCGCAGTACTTCACATCTATGGTCCGGGCGATGATGGATCAACGATCCGTTGGTGATTTCATTTGCCGACAGTTGGCCTTGGGCTTTCAGGAAAGGCTCCGAAACACGGCTTAAGAGCCACCCGTAGCTTCTTCCACAATCCCGTGTGTTCTATGCTGTGATCCTTTAGCCGTTAGCCTGATTCAGGTCCCAGTGCCTTTGGTGCCACATACCATAGGAGCGTTCGAAAAAGGTTTTTGAGGTATGTTCTCCTATAACTACAATAAGGAGCTCCAAAAAGACTAAGTGGTAGTTTTTCGAGGCCCCGATATTAAGCTACGAGAGCTCGAAGGATCGATGAAAAGTTGCGGTCCGTGCAGAGAGGAGGAGCTCGCTCTGCTTTGTGAGGCCATCAGCGGCTTGAGGTCTTGGGTTTAGGGGTTTAGGGGATGGAGGGTTTTGGGGTTCGGGATTTAGGGTGTTTAGCGTTTGGGGATCTAGGGGAGAAGACTCTCAGCTGTTCAGGTACTCTATATTGCAAGGCCAACTGCCAGGTTATTGACAAAAAAACTAATGCATTGGAGGGGCCCGGGGCCCCGCCTGCAGATTGCCGGACTGGGGATCCGTTCAGAGAACGTCGCGCCTTTATAGTACCCTTATGGTACCACTTGTAGATGTCGGAAACTGAAAAAGGGGATGTTGCGGACTGGGATCTAGATCAAGGCCCGACGTCATCTGAGACGTACAGTCTGTACCTGTTCGAGGACCACGGGTTGTTCCGACGAAGTGGGAATCGTGGGCTCGAAGTGTTACATCCCGTCCGTGGGTTGTTAGGTTCTGCCTATTGGTTATGCAGGCCCATCCTTACGCTTCGGGGATAAGCGACACCGGATCTTGGCCCCAGCCCCTGGGCGAATCAGAGCAGGCGGCCCGGGTGGCATTAAGCAGGGAAATCTAGCTCCCTGCCAACGCCAATACCAAACAATCATAAGAAAATGGGCTGGAGCCTTGCAGCTGGTGTTTGGGTGTAGGTCTGATGACTCACAACTAAAAGGTAAGGACGACAGCCACACATCCGCACACTGGGATAACTACTTAAAAACTTATGCTTGTGCACCTTACGATTCCAACGGCTTGGTGGCCAAAATCCCCGAATAGGACTGACAAGACATTTATGTTTTAGTGTAGTAGGCTGTGGTTGGGAGGCTTCGGGCTCTTGGTGCAGATTGTCGCTATTAGTCTCCTGAAATCATACACTACGCTTCGAACATGTTGAATGCCGTGTCCAAGCTCTGTGAGCTGAGCACGTGACGACGGAACTGCGAAGCAAGCGGACTTGGAACGGTGACAGCAGCCTTAACCTGAAAGGTGTGAAGCCTCGTACTCCGTCGAGTTTAGGCGTTTCGGCTCTCACGCTCGGCTTAGGCGTTAGGGCTTCAGGATTGAAGGCTTGAGGTTTGGTGAGGGCCATTGTGCGTGGCGAGGTATTCTAGGACCCTAGGACAACCTGGCACCGGTCACACGCGCCGCTTTGGTCTAGCTAGCCCGCTCAAGAAACACGCTTGTGCATGGGGGGCTTCCGGCTTCAAACTTCGATCCGCCCTAAGTGCCTACATATCGTGCAATGTAGGGTAGTGCATCGTGGTTCGCAGAAGTATATGCCATGCAGGTACGGGGTTCCTTTAGGTCCTTTAGGTTGCAAGGGCCTCAGCTTCTTCGTTGCGGTTCAAAGGCATCGAAGGCTCGGCCTCCGCACGCTTCCAGCTTCGTGGTTCTCAGGCTCAGGGCTTTGCTTCAGGCTTTGTGGTGGGAGCTAGGATTAGGGGTCCCTTGGGGATATAGACCCTCTCAATAAGGTCCCTTTTAAGAGAGCCAAAAGTAGGGCTCAGAAGGGGTACCCTTTAAGGGGTATCCCTAATAATACTACCTATGTGGTTCAACCAACGTCTAGACTATGGGTTTTATCGGCAGCAGGGCCTAACTTCAAGGATGACCTCGCTGTTGGATAGTAGCTGCAACAAGTTGCTCCCATCCATCTTCAGCAACGTAAAAAACTGCCATGCAGAATCTGAATTCGTCGTTCGCTCGGGTTTGGGTGGAGGTACCTTCCTGTCCATTTTCGTCTAGCACACCGGTATTGCACATGCAACATGTGCTGTTGAACAAGATAACAAATGTCGACAAGAAGGAAGGTACCCCAGCTTAGAGACATCTTCCCACCTCTGGCACATGTGCGATGAAGTCTGAACCTTTATACCATCAACTGCTAAATCCTGAGCTTACCCCTAAACCCCTAAACCCTAGACCCTAAACCCTATTGGGCCACAGGTAGTTCTTCACAGTACCTTCTTTGGCACTCCGTCCTCTTGCTTCACCAGCCTGGCCCACGTGCTTGGGTCTTGCTTCCGAGGTCATTACCGGACCAGCGGCCCTACATTACCGGGAGCCACGAGGAAGTACAGACACACATATGTAAGTGAGGGCCTGATTGTGAGGATTAGGTTACTGCGACATGACGTGCGGACTACAAGGCCATATTATTACTAGTTATTACTAAGTACTCACTGTAATCACCCCCGTTTTTACCCCTAAATGCGTTCTAGGCAAACTCTGAAGCTTAGAAGGCAAAACCCAAAACATCACCTACTAGTCCCGCCATGTACCATAGAAGTCTTCAGCAGCCCTGGCCTTGTCTTCGTCTACATCCACGCCTGCCCTGTCGCACGCTTCCACCTGGGCTTCCGGGTTTCAGCCAGGTGAGGTCTCCCGGTATCAAAATGAGAGCTTTCGGCATGCAGCCATCTTCTTCGAGGGTTTCGGAGTTAGGGTTCAGGGTTTTGTTAAGGTTTGGGGGATTCTAGGGTCATGGGGTTTGGTGAAAGACCATGGATACTTACCTACCCTGAACACGATGACTTGACCGTAGAGAGGGTGGTCGAAGGGATACGTCCTCATCACTGCCAGCAGCATCACGATAACTTTCCGGCATGCTGGCAATGCAATAGTCTTGGCTCGCATGCTCCGCATCGAACGACATGCTTTGGCGAGAGCGATAGACTCCGCAACCCATTGCGAACACGACGATCCCGCCACAAAAACTATATAAACCCCACAAATCTGCAACCCTACAGCTCCACAGCCTAGAAGCAACATGATGCAAAGTATACACACGCAAGGGAGAAACCCATATACGCTCACCCAAATCGCTAACGAAAGCCTTGCTTCACCCTATAGTAACTTTACCATAACCCTTGTCGTAACACTCGAGTAACCGTAACCCTAAGAGTAATCTTCGAGTGTTGCCTCGTCTGTGGCGATGGCACGTGGCGCACTGCAACAGAGATGTCCTGCGGGGGTCGTTTCAGGTTCTTCTTGATGCTGTCAACATACTTTAGGTTCAGGTCCGCAGCTGGGCGGCTTGGGAATGTGATGCAAAATGTGTGACCAGATTAGCGTTTATAACTAGAGGCTGTTGGCTGCAATGTATGGACTCCACGGGGAGAATTGTGGACGCTGAGAGCCTCTTGAGAGCATGCACCTACCACCTGAACTCCGAAGCCGTAGCCGCCGGAATGAGTGTAGGGAAACCTGTGCCCCAATGCGCCCCCAACTCCAGCAATGCTTATACACCATCTTACACCCAATGCTCGCGCTTCGGTCAGCAAACTCAACCGATGTCATCAAATTTACAATGCTACGGGTTTGGTTTCTCAGGATGCATTCATTCCTTTATTGTTAAGGCTGTGGGGTGTCCGCGGAATAATAGTTTGTCCAACTTCAACCCTTAAGCATCTGGGTAGCCCAAGCCACACAAATCGCGAAAGCGACAGCTGTGGCAGCAGCTGTTGTCTGAAGTAAGCGGATACCGTGGAAACCGAGACTACCAAACGCCCAGTCAGCACTCTAGGAGCCCTTTGGATTTCAGTTGTGTCCCACACTTATACATTCCATGCGGGGCATGTTCGTGGCTTTGTCAGCTCAGTTGACACACGCAAGTTCCCGCCCAGAGTCCAGAGTTGAGGGCTTAGTAAATGGGTCTTTGCACTCTTCTTCGCCTTCGGGGCTTTGCTGTTCAGACATGACGCCATCACATCCTATCGGGCTTGCGTGAACTTGGTTTGTGGTTCGGGGGTTCTATGGAGACTATGCAGTAGCTTAAGGATTTCGGAGGCGTGGGCTTCGGGGTCTAGGCCTGTAGGACCCATTGCGCACCTCCTCCTCACGCTCGCGCTCCTTGCGCACACGGGCTGCTGAGGCGTCTGCAGCGACGTCCAACGCCATGTCCTGACTTCAACCGAACCTATGTCGGGGTTTTTCCCAACTCAAACCCCAGTTAGTATAGCAAGTGCTAGCATAGAAATTCTTCCTTGCACCACATAGTCGTAGTCGCTTCGGAACCTATGGCGATTGAGGATTACGACCATTTTTGATGCAGAGACCTACAGACTTTCAACAGGAGTTGTGCTTTGGATGTAGGTTCAGAGTATGGGGCCCAAGGAGTAGTGGCTATGATTTGTTCTGGGCATTTGCGGCTACGGCCCTCCCCCACAGAATCTTCATGTAGACAAGTCTCTTCCAACTCGTTCGCTCGATCCAGGATCGCCTCTTGCCGTTGTCTTGATTTGTTCACATGAGGGTTACAGGGTGTTTTACAGGTTTGGGGCTTAGGATCGTAAGGTTCAGGCTTGCATTGCAAGTCAGAGAGCCCCGTACCCCTCAATCGAGGAACATCTCTGCAACTATAGAGCGGACTGCAATTGGATGCTCCTTGCTGCGATGTCGAGATGACCAAATGTAGTGGTTGCAGTGTGGTTCCAACGACACAGAGCTTCAAACTTTAGATCGCTGGGGCAATTCGCATACTTACAGTATTCGCGGGTGTTGCTCGCCTGCACCACCCCGGAAACACGGTGCTGGTTGAACAAAAACGTGGTGAACATGAAAAGTTGATGCCCATTTCATACATGTGTACATGCATACATAAATACATTAAGTCCATGCGTACTTGCATGCATACATACGCACATACATACATACATACATACATACATACATGCATATCGAATAACGTGCTCCTTCTTCTTTGGAAAAACAAACGTACTGTCTTGACCAGAATCCAGGTTGTTATGTACGAGGTTCGAAATCAGCAGATCACGCACTCAGGCCCCTGAGAGCAAAACTGGAGTGCTAAAAAAGAAGCAGGCGCAGGCAGCGAGGGGGTCTGCAAAGCCCTTGACCCATACAATGCAAGCACTAGCATCCATAACACTTCGTAGATCTACCTTAAACCAATGGAACATTTTTGCAGCTTTGGTTTATGTCAAACCGCAAACTATGCCAACGCCGTGTCCAGATGTTCTTAATAGAGGCTCTGAGGACTTAAAAAGTGGGTGCCTGGGCTCCAAGAGGCTACCCATAGGCCCCATAGTGGATCCTTTTTGGGATTCCCTAATAGGATTCTAAATATGAACCCCAACAAGGAACTACTATGGGGCCTATGGGTAGTCGAGGGTCCAGCCAGGTCGGGCTCGGGGATTCATTAAGACAAAGTCTACGCTCCCACAACTCGGACTTGCCAGAGCCAGTTGGATGATCTTGGATCTTTGTATACTATATACAGAGTTCAAGGGCTGTGGGTTCAGAATTTTCGAAGACGTAGAGCTACCTTCCTTTCTGTACTTCTGTGCCTGCGGCTGTTCCGGCGTACCTTCAGCGCACCCGCCTGCCGCCAAGCGAGCGTGGCCACCATGTTCCGCAGCTGAGGCCTCATGCTCTCAAACGTGGCTTGGTTGCTGAGACTAGGCTGGTGCATTGCCCCGTGCACTCCACAAGTACTGTTGCCACTCTGCAATAGGATGACAAAATGACAAATGCAGAAGCTTATTACACACGTGGCGCACTACAGGAAAAACAGCGCACAACCACATCGTTGTCGCAGCCCTGTGTGTGCACAGGACAACCTCTTCTCCTGTCCTGCCGGGATTGTCGAGTTCTGCCGTTAGCAGCAGGTGGCAACGCACAGCATTGCCCAACGAAAACGGACCCCCATACGGGCTCAAGCCTCAACATGCTTTCCTTCGTAAAGATATCCCAGCTATCAGACTCTCATTTAACCCGAAAAGCCACAGACGTAGGAACGTCCATGGAAAATCCTCGGCACCTGAGTCCGCAACAGAAAGACCGAGTCCTGAAGCAAGTCGGCAGCCGAAATCAGAGGCGAGAAGAGCCTCAGAAGGAATCAATCTCCCACACATTACGTAGTCAATAATCTTTTCTGTGCTCTAAATTATTTGTATATATCTGTGCACATCATACTGCATCTGTTGTATAGTAGAGAGCCAGAAGAAGGGTTTAAGGGGTCTCCCTAATAATACTACCTAGGAATGATGCATAATCTGCTATCAGACCAACCCTCCAGGTTTTGAGCCCTGAGATGGGCGACCAAGTGGCGGCACTTGCAGCGGGCTTCGGCCAGCACCCAAGCGATGGCTGTTCCACCTCGTAGGGTTTGGGGTTTACGGTTTAGGGTTTAGGGTTTGGGGTTTTTCCCTACCCGCCCAGCTGACAGAGTCGCACCGCAGGGAGCTCGACTACGGCTACGGGAGAGTTTCAGGGCGAGGCATTCGACATGCTTCCCCGCAGAAACGTACAACTTCAGATGCCCAACCGATAGAGAATGGGAAGTCTGCCCGTCGATTCCCTGGCTGCTTGCGGAGGGCTGCAGAGGGTCGGCCTTTGGGGTTTAGGGTTCCACCTCGTAGGACTCGAATGTACTGTGGGATTTTATGGATCCAGACGGTATATAGCGAGTGTCCACAGCGTCACGTATAGGGCTTACTGCCTTATACGGCAGTGTTTACATAAGCCTTGCAAGGGGGCCTGGGCCTTCCTCTTCCTTTACGCTTCCGTTCTGCACGGCGTGAATCAGGTCTGCAGGCCAACAAGACCTGGACCTTCCAAGACGAGGCAGACCTTCCTAAAGGACAGCATCGTGAGAGAAACATGCCACATCAGGAGAGGAATCCGTGGTGACGACCAGCTTCGGACCCCCTGTAAGCTACAAATCTAGAATCTAGAACCCAATAAGAGCCCGACTTAGTCTGCAGGCTTTCCTGTCAAGCCGCAAGGCGTGCCGAATCGCTTCTGCTTGAGGTCCGTCCTCATTTCTTTTTGATGAGGCTTAAGAAAATTCGGATCCTGTACGGGTGAGACCGGGGGATCTCTGCCTAGGCTTCCGTTTCGCAACTTCCTTCAGGCGACTCTCTGTTGGGGGATGGGGGCGGGGAGCCGGGTTCAAGCTGGAATGCTTAAGCCAACTTAAGCCCAACACCAGGGATCCCTTGTTATGCCAGTTCAGGAATATGGGCCCTGCAGCTTTAAAACCCTGCCGGAGCCTGCCGAGCCGCTTATGCAATGCACAAATCGTACCCCTACGCACAGAGTAAACACGCTCATACAATAAAAGGTGCAAGATAAACACGTCAAGCCGTCAACCAAACGACCCTCAAGAACACTTGTTTGTTGCAACCCCTTGTCAGAGGCATCCCAAGGGACCTGAAATCCCGTGGCCACGAGGTAACGCTCCTGCTCCGACGCTGCTGGGGTTTAGGGTTCATGTTCATGGGTTAGGGTTTAGGGTTCGCGGGTTAGGGTTGAGGGCTTTGGGTTTAGGGTTTGGGGTTTAGGGCTTAGGGGTTATAGGGTTTAGTGCTTGCATCAGTGGAGCTTTGTCTTGGACTCAGGGTACACTTCGGAATTTGGAACGTGTAAGGTTAAGCCGTTGAGGTATTTACGGGATAGTGTTTCGAGGCTCCAGGAAAACCTAGGGCTTAGGGCAGTTCAGGAATTGAGGGCTGCAAGAGCGACTATCAGGGTGGAGTGCCTCGGAGACTGCATGCCAGTTATCTGGTTGCGACGTGCACCTTGGATATCCTTGGAACACAAACAAACCTTAATGAGCCAGGCCCCACAAAGTTTAGCCTAGAACACACATATACGAGCGCAGCACAAATTGATGTTCTGGCATTGGCTAGGAAAGATAAAGTCGGGCTTCGTCTGCTGGCTGCTGTAATAGACAACTGTCCCGCCCTACCTTCTGAAGCTCCGAAAGGTTTTAGACTTGCCACCCGAAATCTTTTGATGCATCATTCAGCGAGCCCCTTGAAGACGTCCTAGTGGTGCACCCCTACAAGGCCCGGTCGCCCTGAACGGAACTCTACTTTCAGACAGCGCGGTACTTAGAGCTCTGCAAAAACCTCTCAGCCCCCACAACAAACGGTCCCACCACCAAAACAACAGTAGAGTCCTCAATATAAGGACCGGACACCGAACCTCAGATCAGCCTGCATTCTGTGCCGCCGTGCCACGGGCCCTGCCACTCTGGAGGTCATCGGCTTCACCACACACACCTTAGGGCTTGAGGCTTTGGGGCTTAGGACTTTTCACGGGCTTCCCTCCCAAAAGTGTTAGATCCTGCGCCCCATCACACCGTTGATCTGCAAGAGTCGAAAACCACATCGCGTACACCCAAAGAGTCTTAAGCCACTACGCAATGCACAGTTTGTGCTCGCTGTAAGGAATTGCTGCTATGGTTTGGGCCAGTCTCCGCATCAAACAATTATAGGCAGTCAAGCCTTTTGCGGCACGAACCCTTGCCGGTTTTACCTCTTACATCTTTCGAGCTTTGGGTTTGGCGGCTGATTCGGATTCAAGTCCTAAAACTCAGGTCCAGTTGCCGAGGAGAAGAGTTTCGTCGTGAGGAAGAGGAGTGCCTGCAGCCGACTTGCGTTTCGGGGCTTCGGTGTTTGGGGGGTCTAAGGTTTAGGGTTTAGGGTTTAGGGTCTAGGGTTTTTTCCCTCTCGGGTTTAGGGTTTAGGGTTTGGGGTTGGAGGTGCTTCGTTGGCCTATCGCCACGAACAAGGAATTACCTGGCCACTAAAACCCTGAACGTTGACCAGGCCCGAACTCGCTTATCCTAATGGATCCTAATGTAATTAGCTACATAGTACACAGCAGGGCGTAGATGTTAGTAAATACAAGACTTCTACTTTTTGGGCAAGCTTTCCCCAATATGAGTCCTTGGATCCTTGAGTCCTTGACGTTGCACTCGCTGATCAGTGCATGCGTGGCTTCTTCCCAACTCTGTCTGCTGACACATCGAGCTTTGTGGGGTAAGGGCTTGATGCTTCATGGGTATTTCATGGGTAACGATAAGAGCTACCAAGAGACCCTAGTCACGAATTGTGGCTGAATCTCACGATATGCAGGACTTCAACTACGAG